ACTGAACCTGCGGGGCTCACCTGGAGATGACGATCTGCACCATGGTGGAGCCCTGCCCAGCGCTGCAGAGACACGGGAAGGGCAGGGGGGCTGGATAGAACCCCTGGCCCTTCCCTTCCATCCCTGGGCCCGGGATGAGCTCCTGCCCCAGCTCACAGACCCCAGACCCGCCATGCACTGACCCCATCCCCGGGTCCCGCCGATCCCCAAGCCCGGATCTCCCCCCGCAGCGGCTCCTCCTGGCCCCCGACCCACAGACCCCCCAGTCCCCATGCCCAGATCCCCTCCCCGGGCCCCACAGCCCCCCGTGCCCAGGAACCTCCCCCCCATGCCCGGATCCGTTCCGCGGATCCCCGGTTGCGCGGGGCGCTGGGGCCCTCCAGCGGTGCCGGTGCCGCGGGGCCGGTCCGGGACAGCCCGGCTGAGCCGCTCGGGGCCGGTCGGTCCCGCCTGCACCGTGCGCTCACCCYGGCCGAGCCCCGCCGYTCCCGGTCCCGGTSCCGGTSCCGCTCCGCACCGGCAGCGCCCGAATCTCCCGCCGCGCGCCGCTTCCGCTTCCGGTTCCGGTTCCCGCGGGCAGCTCCGGTTCCGGCGCGCCGCGCGCACGTGGGGCGGAGCGGGGCCGGCACCGGGAGCGGGAACGGGAGCGGGAACGGGAGCGGGAGCGGAGCGGGGCCGGCGCGGCGCCATGGGAGAGTTCGAGGTGCACCGGGTGCGGTTCTTCGGGCTGGTACCGGCGGGGGTGCGCTGCCTCGCCTGCCACCCCCGCGGCGCCCGCCTGGCCCTGGCCCGCACCGACGGCACCGTCGAGGTGTACAACTTCGCCGCCAACTACTTCCAGGAGAAGGTGAGAGCGCCGGCACGGGCCGTACCGGGCTGTTCCCAGCCTGTACTGAGCCGTACCGGGCTTTGTGGAGCTCGTACCGAGCCCGTACCGCGCTTTATTTGATCGTTCCGGTCGGCACCGGGCTGTACCGGGTCTGTACCGAGCCTAGCCGGGCCGTACCGAGCCGGGACCACGCTTTGCTCGGCCCTGCGGATCCGTGCCGAGCGTGTACCGGGCCGGTGCCGGGCCGCAGCGGGGCTGTAGCGGGGTTTATCCGGTGCTGCTGGTCGGTACCGGGCGGTGCCGCGGTGTGACCCCGTCCCTGCCCAGGTGATCCCGGGACACGAGGAGCGCTCGGTGGAGTCGCTGTGCTGGGCGGCGGGGGAGCGGCTCTTCGGGGCCGGGCTCGGCGGGGACATCACCGAGTTCGATCTGTCCCGGCTGAGCGCGGCCCGCGGCACCGACGGCGGCGGGGGACCCATCTGGAGCATGGCGGCCAACGGCAGCGGCGAGCAGCTGGCGGTGAGTGCGGGCACCGGCACCGGGGGGCACCGGGGAGAGCGGCCCCTGTGCCCCCAGCTCATCCCCACCCCCGCAGATCGGCTGCGAGGACGGCTCCGTGAAGATCTTCCAGGTGGTTCCTGGGGGGATCCAGTTCGAGCGGAACCTGGACAGGCGGAAAGGTGGGTGCTGGCCGTCCGTCTGTCCATCTGTCCATCTGTCCCTCTGGCCACCCTGGTGACCCACAGGGTCACACTGAGCTTCCCTCCGCAGGCCGTGTCCTGTGCCTGTCCTGGCATCCCTCGGACTCTCAC